TTAAATAATTCTAGAGTCTTTAAGGTTTGACTGCTTCTTCCTTTTTCTTGGAAGATTCTGGCATTCCTTTCTTCCCATACTGTCCATAACAATGCTGCTCGTGAGCATCTTCACATTTTCCTTCCTCTTTTATGGGGCCAAGAGAAGAAAGAAGGGTTAAAGATTGTGCTTACTTCTGCTGGCATATCCYAACTAGACCCAAACAAAGATAGAAGCCAAGCCCAGAGCTTTGCAGTGACACTACAAGATAAGAATAGATGATTACAATCCTCACCATGAGATCTGCAAAGAATGCACCAGTTTGGTGAAATAGCAAAGGATAGGTCTTCTCTTTTGTAGGTTGTCCATCGTGTTTACTTTACGATGCCACACTTCCCAACACAGAGCCATAACCTTGGGGGGACCGGCCTACACCAGACTTCTTTGAAAGGGAAACTCTGATGAGAGGGAGATTGGCAGAKGWRYTTGAAAAAKGAACYAYAAGAAAAAGACCCTTTGGGGTGAATGGCCCAAATCCTTTTATCAGGTTTCGAGGGATCCAACCAAACCTTATCAAGGAGACATAGAAGAGTAGATAAACACTCAATTTCCTCATCCCTTAATCCTCTACGGAAACCAAAGTCCCAAGACAAAGTTGGAAAGGATAAATTTTACGGGAGGAATTTTGAGATCACCTCATTTTTATACAAGGAAACAGAGTACAATGAAGGAAAAAAGGTATTTCAAAGGGAGATCTCCAACTCAAATGTCCTCCCAAAACCGAATAGAATTACCTAAACAAGCATCATACCTGACACAGATAAGGAACTGCGGAAGAACTTTGTGAATTGCTTTCCAAGGTGTGGCTAGGTTAGCCCTCCTTGATGCACCAGCATCCCAACCACTCTCTGAACATCCATGAATACTCTTCACTACTTCGTGCCAGAGTCTATCCCGCCCCAAAGGCCATCTCCACAACTACTTCCCTAACAAAGCTGAGTTCTTTTTAAGCACATTCCCGAGCCCTAATCCTCCCTCCTCTTTGCTTCTACCCACAACCCCCCACTTAATTAAATGGTCTTTTTTACCTTCTCCCGGTTCCCACAGAAAATCTCTCATCAATTTTTCTAACTTCTTTGCTTCCCTAGACGGTATCCTAAAGACAGAGAGATAATAGGTAGGTAGATTCATGAGGGTAGATTTTATCAAAGTGATCCTCCTACCCAAAGAGAGATAATTTTTCTTCCAAACAGCTAGCCTCTTTTCTAACTTCTCCAAGACTGGGGTCCAGAACCTACTCTCCCTAGGGTTTGCTCCCAACGGAACCTACTCTCTCTAGGGTTGGCAAGATCTTTTCTTGCAAGAATACAGTTTGTCACCCTCAAATATATGATATTTATCAAACCCCCTGGGTAATTCATCTCCATGTTATCTTTGCTCTTCTCCCAAACTGACTATAGAATTGCAACTCTAGTGCATCTCCATGTTATCTTTGCTCTTTTATGTGGAGATAAGAAAGATGAGGTAAAAAATCTGGAATACCAGTCAATCCTAACTATTAAGAACTAAAGAGAGAGAGAGAGATACTATACTTGTAACAAAGATACTTGCTTTTTTCATAGAATTTCACATCTAAGAGATTGTTGTCTTGGAACAACGTAGAATCTTAGTTTCAGCTCCCAACTAGAAGTGTATGTGGCATCAGAAAATTGCATGGGAAGAGCTTCACAGGATAAATGTTCAGTAATCATTCACTGAGACTGATACATAACAACAGCCAAAAGTGAATAATTAAACTGCCAACATCCTAAGTGAGGACTCTTTTGGGGTTTTGATCTAGAAGTATCCAAAAAATGACTCCCTGAAGAATACCAACTAGAGTTTATCTATGGATTGCTTGGGATGGGTAGTAAGTCATAGGCAATTCTCATTAAAGCATTGGTGGAAAAGTCTGGATGTTGTTCATGATACTTAAGTTTATTATCTTAGTGAAAAATGCAATATCTGAAGTTTAGATTTTGATGAGCCCATGTAAATTTGCAGAAAATTTTGAATTGGGATAATTTAGAAATGGTAGTCTTTTATTTGTGCTTTCTACATATTTTTCTTAAAATCATCTTTTTGATCATAACTTGGTATTGCAAAAACCTAATCGATTTATCATGGGTTTAGCGTATCTCTCTTTATTGACTTCTTTTCAGGTTTTATCTCGTAAGTGATTTGTTTGGAAACAGCCTCATTGTATGGGGTAAGGCTGTGTACATCTGTCCCTCCCCAGATCCCGCATTGGTGGGAGCCTTGTGCACTGGGATGCCCTTTATCTGATAAGTGATTTGTCTATTTGTTGCCAGGTAAGAGATGAACTGGAACACTTGCTGGATGATGATGAAGATATGGCCGAGATGTATCTGACTGACAAGATGATGCAACAACGTCTTGATGGGTCATCCTCTTCTGTTTCTTCCCTAAATGAGGGAAATGGCATGGATGATGGAGTTCTTCAATCAGAAATGGATGAGAGGTGCTGAATTTATTTACTTGTAACTTTAATGGTGGACTAAACTATTGAAACTGGTGTTGCTTTTTTGATGAAATAACCTGAGTGCATACTTAATTTTTTTCTTTTGATTGTTTTGTTAAGTACATCTCACAACTAATTCATCATAAGTTTTTCAGGATTCCTGCTGAGATTTCACCTGAGGCAAATGAGGTTCTCCATAGTTATGAAGGTGATGTTCATAACACAGATACCAGGGACCATTTATTTAGCATCTCTAATGCACTTAGCAGAGATAGTCATGGAACTCATACTAGTACAACACATAGTGCCATCAGCAAACACCTTGATGTGGAGGAACTTGAGATGCTCTTGGAGGCATACTTTGTGCAGATTGATGGTACACTGAACAAGCTGTCAACAGTATGTGACTTTACCTTAAGAATACTAAAATTTGGGGCCCTGTATTGATCATCTTCATCTAAATATAATTTGCGAAGTGGTTTTCCTTTACCATGGAATATTTTCTTAACCTAATGGCTTTCTTTACTGCAAACATCTGGTGCATCTTTCTGTGAGAACTTGTTAAGCTGTCGTTTCTAAACATCTGGAAGAATAGAGAAATTGCTTTTGTTAACATGATTGCTTCAAAATTTCTTTCCTTGTCTCCTCTCCTTTTCCAGAATTCAATCTTCATTCCTTTTACAAATGACAGGGAAGACAAAAGGAAAATCAAAATATTTTTGGGTAAAAATGCATTTACTTTATATCAAATATAACTAATTCCAATGAAAGGATTTTTATTCAAGTCTTTAGGCACTGTCCATTCATGCAATCTTGTAAGTGCTAGACATTAGTCCTTACTCCTTCACTAATGAACCTAGAGTGAAACTATGCATATCTTCTAGGTAAGAGAGAAATTATATAATTCTATTAGCTGGGGGTGCAGATTCCAAGATTCTCATATAACAATGCTTTACTAGGCATTGATGCGTGCAAAGCTCTGCCTTTCTGTGACTATAATATCCAGCCTAACCAGACTAGATGAATAAACACATTCATCCAGCATCACATTCTCTTTATGGTTTAAAACAGTGATTTATGATCATCCAATTGAGTTGATTGATATATACTGTTATGTTGATAAAAAATTCAAAAAGGGAGGGAAGTACTTAAGGTCAGAGGTGTCTTAGTTTCAGCACGCTGAATTTTGTATTTCCCCTACTTGTGTGCCTTACATTGATTAAAAAACTATTAGAGTTTAAGAAAAAAATAATATAAATAATCTTATCTCATTGTTTCCATATAGGACAATGGTCAGTGGTTTATGATCATTTTGCAACTGCTTTTCAATTCCTTTGATGTTTCTTAATGTACTGATGGTTTCCTGGTGCTGCTGCTTGAAAGCTGAGGGAATATGTGGATGACACGGAAGACTACATCAATATCATGCTGGATGACAAACAGAACCATCTCCTGCAAATGGGCGTTATGTTGACAACAGCAACCCTCGTGGTGAGTGCCTTTGTTGTTGTAGCTGGTATATTTGGCATGAACATCAACATTGAGTTGTTCGACGAGACAAAGGCTGGGATGCCAGAATTTTTGTGGACTGTTGGTGGTGGTGCTACGGGAAGCATCTTTTTGTACGTAATTGCTATTGCTTGGTGCAAACACAAGCGCTTACTAGAGTAAGTATATGATGATGGTATGAAGTATGAACCAACTGTTTACAGTGAACCTGTAATGTTGTATTGTAATAATTGGTTAGCTTGGTATTTTCTGTGGTTGACCGTTTCTGTGTCCATCAGTTTACACTGTTGATGGTTTTCTATTTTTCGTCTTGGCTTTTCTTGTACTTACCTGCTTGTTTTTTCGGTGCTTGGCAAAGAAATGCTGACCACATCTCAAATTTCAGTTACAGTGTATGCCTATGGGGTCATGGGCTGGGCCAGACCGAGTTTGTGGGCACTTGTATATAAATTCAGGTCTGGGCCGGTCGTGAACACTGAATACAAAACCTAGGCTAGGGCAGGACAGTCTGTTTGATAATTGGACATATTTCCTATATCAGAAAATCTAATATGACGGTGATTGTCATGGGATGGTCCAATTGAAGAACTTACATGTCTTGATTTTCCCAATGCTCAGTGGTATATCCACTAAGGGCTTCAAATAAGTTGGCCCATAATGTAGCTAAATTTTCATTTTGATCGAGAGTCCCTGATTTTCTTGCTACATCTGTTGAAAATGATGTACTCTCAGCTTATGTTGAATGAATAAAAAAAATAAAAAATAAAACGATTAGTACATAACTTGTACGAGATTAAAACATATATATATATATATATATATATATATATATATATATATTGATTCTAAATAAAGATATTTAAACCATGGGAAAATCTATGGTACGGAAAAGATACGGTAAGGATTTTTATCAATCAAAGTCTATTCATGAATTTTGATAAATGACACCTGGGTAGTTACGATTTTTATGATTCCAAATTATTGGTCAGTTGTTTTTCGGATATCATATCTTTTACATATCATAGTCGCACCCTTAAACCATAGATATTAATTTTGAGGATTGATTTGAGATCATCCCATTTTTTAATGTTACATAAATGAAAGTTCCCCCAAATTTTAGCTATCATTTACCGCAATGTTCATTTTTTTATTCACAAGGGATGTGTCCCGTTTATCAAAAAATGGGAGGCGCTAAGCCGCTAACAAGGGTTAAAATCTATATTCAGGTATTATTTGTTTGGATTCCATTATGATATTGGAAGAACTTGATCCTCACTAGGGTGAGCGGTTTTGTCGCAAGGTAGAACCTGGAACCTATTTTATAAGAGTTGGTTTCAAGTTTTTGGAATCAAAACGGTGAAATTTGTTCTTGTGAAGGTCAGTTTTAGGATCTATTCATGAAATTTGTTCTTTCTTTACTCCCCCCTCCCCCTCTAAAAAAAAAGATAGAACAAGTTATTTAAAAACTTAATATTTAAAAGGGTTGGACTATGATATGAAAAAGATATGATATCCCAAAAACATCTAACCAATTAAATGGAATCATAAATGTGGTAGCCAATCAGGTGTTATTTATCAAAATTCATAGAAAAAATATGAAATATTTTCTTTGTTCAATGTTCAAAGGTGGGGGGTGTAAACGGATTGGATTTGAACAAGGCAATATTTGAATTTGAATCTAATTAGAAAATCCGATATCTGAATTTGATTTGATATCTAATGAATATTGAAAATTAATATTTGAAGTCGAATTCGATTAAATATTCAAATATTCGATTCGATTTGAATTCGACCAATTAATTATTTTAAATAATTAATAAATATATAAAACAAATGTTTTATTTATATAAAGTATATAAATTATTTATATAATTTAATTATTTTATATATAAATTATATATTTTATATATTCTATTTAAGAATTAAATAATTGATCGAATTCGGATAATTATCGAATTGAATAAAATCATATCCAAATTTGAATCCAATTAACTATTCAATATAAATAAGATATTCAAATTCAACCAATTAAATATTCAAATTATAAATAATCTGAAATCGAAATCTGATTTTCGAATACCATAGAGTACTGTTTTTAACTTGAAGTACTGTTTTTAACCCTTGAGCATTGAAAAAAAGGATAAATCTCTTAACTGTATCTTAAAATTGTCTTATAGTACCCTTATTTTCCTTCTTAACTAGCTCTACTTCTCCTTAATATTCAATCGAAATTCATACACACTTGACTTTCTTTAAAACCCAATTTTGTCCTTCGTCCATCTCCCTTATTTTTCACCATCCCTCTCCCAGGCGGCAGCTACAGCAAACCACTCTGCAACCGTTCCACTCCTCGTCCCTCTGCCGCCGTCACCATCGTCATCTGACTGTAAGCATAATGAATCCAGGGAGGCCATTACATGTTACCATACCAGACCACTGCTGCAAGTTGCAACAGTGGCGGTGATGAAACAGGGCGAGAGAGAACGAAGGAATGGGGAGAGAGAGAGCCGCCGCTGGAAACGAAATTATCGGGGGCTCTATGGGTTTGTTTGTAAACTCCAAGGTCACAAAAGCTCGATCGCAGGGACGAACAACCAAACTAATGACTAGGGGCTCTATCTAGGAACACAACCAGATTACCGGGGGCTCTATGGGTTTCTGTTACCAAGGGATCTGTGTAAGGAGCTTACTTACTTCGGAGAAAAAGGGTTTCCGGAAACCCTTGCTCTTCACTAGATTGCTTTCTTCTCTAGATGCTGCCGATACTTAGTTGCAGGTTGGTCACTTGCATTTAGTTAATTCGAGTTACAGAGCATTTACCCTCCTTTTCCCCTTCTTCCCTTTCACAAACTTTTTCACTTCCTAGATTTGAAGCTTGAGTTGAGACTCAACATTCATATCCTAAGCGTCTAAGACATTGAGAAACAGGGCGGTCTTCCGCATACCCATTAAATTAATTCATTTTAATATGTATATGGACATTCTTTCTTGCAAATGGCTTTTTTCTTCATTTTAATATTTTATTGTTTTGTTTTAGTAATACCTTTATTATGAGGAGGAAATGCAGGACTAATTAAACGATTTCTTGTCTCCTTTTCTCCAATTTCTGTATTACTTAGTCTTTGTTCGTTCCTTGATGTAATCTCTATCTTTCTGCTTGTTTATCTTTGCTGAAATTATGAACTGTTTGTTGGATGATCAGGGGATGAGGTCGGATGAGGGAAGAGAGAGTGTATGAGAGAGAAAGAGAGGTCACCACCGTCTTTACCGTATTCCGGCGGTGAAACACAGTTCGCCGAAATGTAGAACTGGTGGGCGTTATAATCACATGTATCCAGATTGATGCATCGTAGGGGATCTCAAGGTTATTCTCTACATTGATTAAAATATAAACCGTTGAATGGGTATTAGTGGCGGAAATCAACAAATTAAATGAGAGGATTGATGGTTAATTCCAGTCGTATGTAGACCGGTCCATCGTTTGAATCAACGGACGAGGGCTTTCCTCCGGCCAAGCCAAGGTGGAAAAGTTCCACTAAGTTTTTAACTTTGATTTTTGTGCCCTTGCTTGTTGGACCTCCAAAATCCTTCTGGGTGGCACGTGGTTTTATTGCAACTTTACATAATTCAAAATGACAAATACCCCATCCTAAAACATCAATAGCCGCCATTATATTAACATCAATTCCATATTGGCACCTACCCCAACTGTACAATGGGAATAAGAATTCTTAGGGTGTGTGCTGAACAGTCATTCTCCTAAAAAACTTGGGCTGTTGGGGGCCAAGAGCCTAAGCTGTTGACATGATTTTGGGGAATGCTACATTTCTGTGAGAATAGATAAATTAGTAATTGCCCCTTAATTTATTTTGACTAAAAACAAAAATATGAAGTTCACATCAGTGCCCCACAACACATCTCGACCTTGTATGTTCTCAATACAATACAAGGTCGGGATGTGTTGTGCGGCATTGTGGGGCGCTGATGTGAACTCAAAAACATACAAGGTCAGGGATATGATGTGGGGCACTGATGTGAATTCAAAACACATGGGTGTGAATAGGTGAACTACCGTGAACATGCCCGGCCCCAAAACTCTCTCAACAGCATAGGTTGTTGGCCCCCAACAACCAAAGTATGCTTTGAAATCAAACATAACACAGAATTTGGCTGTCCCTATTGCCCCCTCCCCATCCCTGCCCCGTAATCAAGATACTTTGCCTCGTCTTCGTCCCATCCCTAGGTTCGGGGTGGGGTATCCACTCCCTATAGGGGACGGAGAATCCCCGAATATTCCCTACTCTAAGGCAACTACTTAAAAATTATCTATTTTGTGGACAATTTACACATAGAATATATAAATTTGGGGGTATTTTAGGAATTGAATTATAATACTTCAGGGATACTTCAAAATGGAATTATGGGATCCTAGGATTTTAAGAATTTAGGGAAAATTTAGGCCCTGTTTGCTTTTTAGATAGTTACTTACTCGGGTAAATGTAGTTACCTGGGTAAGTTTTTCCTATGAAACATTTACTCGGGTAAGTGCATTTACCCATGCTCTTTAATTTCTCATGCAAATAAGGTAGTGACCATTTTAGCCATAAAAATCAATTATTAAAAGGGATATTTTTATCCCATTCAAGTGTTGGCAATTTTCCCTTAGGTGGGAAAGTTATTTACCCACCTAGGAGATGGGTATCTCTCAAGGTTCAAAATATTGATACGTCGATAGGGGCGTATCGAGTATTTCGATACTTGTTTTTTTACTTTTTTTTTCAAAACTGGTTCACGGGAGCCGGTCTAGGACCCCTCCATCCTCTAAACCGGTCAAACCCCCGATACACCCACTGTAGGGGCGTATTGGAAGGGTTTCGGAATGATACATATTGGCCGATACGTAACGATACTTTGAACCTTGGTCAATGGGTAAGTGATACCTAGGAAAATAAACTTTCCATGGTCCCCACATAAATCTGAAAAAAGAACATAGGGTTCTTGGTCAATGGGAACCAAACTCCCATTGACCAACTTTCCCTCATCTCAATATTAAACATAGAGATATTTTACTAATTTACTTTCAAGTTCAGGGAATTATATACAAAACTCGTCCCAGCCCCATCCCTGGTTTGGGGAAAAAATATTCTCCTCGTTCCCACTCCATCCCCGTTTAGGGTCAAGGAAAACCCTTTCCCAATTCGGGGCTGGGTGGGGCCCTGGTTTTATCGAGGAAATTGCCATTCCTAATCCCAACAAAACATTATACATCAGGAATCTCCCTCATAGAGATCAGATTCAGTCTTCACAAGATTGTGTTCACCTTATTCACAACCTTTTACAACTGTGCATTGGGAATATCTTCATACTTGT